GCGAAAGCCGTGAACGTGGAAATGAAGACCCCCGTTCCAGAGAGAGGGAGCGTCCTGGACCACGGGGTTGGCGCTTGGGGCGGAGCGCGGCGGGTTGTCGGACATGGGGATGAATATGACGAACTCGGTGTGGGACACGCGTCGCCGACAAGCAAGGCGTGGTCAGCGTCGGACGAGCGCCGAGGCCATTTCCTTCCGGACGCCGCCCCGCCCCGCCCCGCCCCACTCCGCAACGCCCCGCCCCATCGGGTGGGATGGGCGTTCCTAGGGGCGATGCCCTGCTCCTGCCCGCCCCGCCCCGCGTCCACGCCTCACCCCGCCTCACGCCCCGTGCGGGGCCTACAGGGTGCCCTGCCGCCGGCCCTGCCCCGGTGCCGGGGGTGGCTCGGCTTGGCTTGGGGGTGGCGTTCTTGGCCGCCGGCCCGGGCTAGCTCCTGCTTCTGCCACCCACCCAGCCACCCACCCCGCAGGGCCTCCACCTCGCGGGTGTACGCGGCTACGCAGCTACGCCGCCACGCCGCCACGCCGCCACGCCGCCACGCCGACCACGCCGCGCGACACGACGTCGTTGGGGTGGCAAAGTAAATTGGCACGCAGAATTCGCCGCGGCCCGCCTGGCAGGCCGGAGCCCGGACTGTCCGGGACGGCGCGGTGATAAAGCAAAGCGACCGCGACATCGTGAACACCACCACCACCTTGGCCACCACGGCCCCCTTCTAGGCGTGGCGCCAGGCCGGGGGCCGCAGAGCGCGCATACCTTAGGGCGCATACCACCACCGCGGGCGTGGGGGTCTTCTACGTGGACAGGGCACGCGGGGCGGCAGGAAGCGGGGGTGCGGCTGCCGCCAGGCCCGGCCAGGCCCGGCCAGGGCAAAGTAGGGGTAGGGACTTGGTCCGTGAGGGTTTGACGACTTGGTATTGATCGCAGAACACGGCACGTCGCACGCGGCGCCGCACGCCGCGCCACGGAGATGGAGATGGAACGAGGGTGGGAGGGCGCCATGGCGCATGCACTAGCGCAGTGGAGGCGCACATCCACCCCGACACGATGGACGAGGGCCAGGCCGGCCGAGGCGGGCCGAGGCCCCACCACCCCCTTTCTCTGGCGCCCCCCACGGGGTGGCGTCGCCGTGGCGATCGACTTGGAAAGCCGTTTGTACCGGTTTATTCATCCGGGCACCGTTCATTGCGCAGCCACTCGCCGAGGTGCAACCAGTTCCAGCGGTGTCGGTGTCCCCGAGGGTCGTGGTCGTTGGACCGCCGCCGACGCCACGCCGGTACCGAAATAGCATTCCCACCCCGTTGCGATTTGAGGCAAGCGCTGTGCTGGCGGTGGCGGAACACGATTCGCGCGGCGGGGGCGGGGCGGGGCGGGGTGGGGCGCGGCGGGTCGGTTCGGTTCGCTGCGGGGTGGCCGGGCGGTGGGGTGGCTGCGGAGGGTGTGCGAAAACCCGGCGGAGTATGGATCGGTTTGCCAACGCAAAGAAATGGCGGGGAGGGCGGGGAGGGGTTGAGGTGCGTCGGTCGGGGCGGCGCGCGGCGGCAGCGCTGAAGAGGCCGTCCAGGACCAAGATGTTGTTGCCCGCAACGCCCGCGCTACCCACAGCAGCAGCAGCCGAACAAAACTGCCGAAAAGTGTGCAGGCAACATGCAGACAACTGCGCGAGGACGCTGCTATGGTCGCTGGCATGCGTCGCCCCGTCCGCTCCCGAAGCGGCAGCAAAGGCTTCGTCATGACGAACTTGTTGACGAGGAAGGGCAACAATCACGGCGCCAGGAGGGGGTAGATTAGCCGAATGTTTATTTTAAAGTTAATCCCATCACAGAGAGGCCGGTTTACGGGACGTTCCACCGCACTGCGTCTCGCCAAACCCTCCCTTCCCCGCTCCTGCTCTGCTCATGCAGTGCGTGCCGCTCGCGATGTAACCCGGGCCGCGGCCATGTAGCGTGGTGGCAGTGATGGCATGCTGCAGGGGGCGCCAAGTCGGAGGCAAGGCTTGGCGCGTGGGTGCATTCGCCTGTGTCGAAGCAACCACGGCACCGCGTCCTCGGCGGCGCAAGGAGGCGCAAGGGGGCGCCCCCGGGGGGCCATTCTGGGGGCTGCACAGTGAGCAGAGCGCACTGCACAAGGCGCCGCCTACCACGCGAACGTGGCCCCGCGCCAACTGCAGTGCTTCACTGCGAAGTTACGCGTGTTTGCGCGGTGCTTCCGCTTGGTTCTTGCCGTGTGTGTGTGTGTGTGTGTGTGTGTGTGTGTGTGTGTGTGTGTGCACACGCGCGCGCGTGTGTGTGTATTTGTGTGTGGGGAAGAGGGGAGGGGCGTGCGACGCAGATGCGCAGTGGCGGGGCGCATCGTACAGCAACTAGCCTGCCAGCGCTTCAGCGCTTCCCACCCACAAGCACCCCGTGGCCCCGTCCCCCCAGCCATGATGCCCTGCCCAGCCCAGACACGCGCATCGACCCGCGAGGGTTGCGCGGCCAGCCCAGCCGCCCCGCCCGAGCAGCCAGCCGCGGCCTGGCCCGGGCGGGGCGGGGGAAGGCATGGGGCGCTGGCGCTGGGGCGGCGCGCACCGAGGGTTGAGGCCGGGCGGTGGTGACGTCACGTAGTCACTGCCCGGGCCCCTTCACCTGCCCCTCTCCTCTGCCCCAGCCTGCCAGCCAGCCAGCCTGCCTGCCCCATGGCTCGGACTCTTGGGCCGTTCCCTGGGTTCCCTGCGACGCCGCGCGTTTCAGCGGGTAGCCACATGTAGGCTCTAGGCGATTGTTGAGCAGGGAAGGAAGCAGCCGGCCTAGCCGTGCCGCAAACTAGACCAAGTTCCACGGCCACGCCCCGGACGCACGGCAAGCGGCCTTATCTAGCCTTATCTAGTCTTATCTATCCTGACGTCCTTCCGCGTGGCGGCCGCCCGATCCGGGCCGGGGCTTTGGCCCCCTCGACCTCAGGTGCATCACGTGCATCTCGGCGTGCAAGGCCGCCTGCCCCGCCTGCCCCGCCAGCAGACAGCGGCGACGGTGGAGCACTCCGCGATGTTACGTCGCGCTGCTCGAGCCTCAGCCTCAGCACGCCGACGGCGCCCACACTGATAACAGGTGGCGGCGATAGCCAGCAGCCCGCGCAACAACAACGCGGCCTCGCTGTCCCGATCTGCGGCAGACTGATTCCGATAATAGTCGCTTCCGTCGCTCTGTCTCTCTCGCACTCATGCGGCGCGCCGTGTGCGAGACAGAGCGACGAAAACGACTCTCGGAATCAGTCCAGCAGCCCCGCGATGAATAAACGAGAAGCGAATATCGCTGCCTCGTCCTGCAGGGACTCCAAAGCAGGGGCGCAACGCGCGGGGCTTCCCGGGGCCCTTTGTTGTCGACTTGGAACGGTGGGGCGGACGAAACAGGCCAAGCGAAGAAGAGCAGCAAAGGAATGGAAATGAAATGAGGTCCCACGCGACCCGGGCACCAGCAGCCCTTTGCGACGACCCTTCCACTCGGCAGCCCCCGAGTCAGTCGCAGCGTCACAGCGTCGCAGCGTCACCGGGCCCTTCGGCCCTTCCTTTCCCTTTGTCGAGTCGCGGAGCGCGGAACGAGTTGGCGGAGTTCGCGCACCTCCAGGCAAGCCTCCAGGTTGACCCACATACCGTACCGCGTGTCGCCCTGGGGCACCCTGGTGGGACTTCCCCGAGACTCTCCCGTGTTTCTCCAGGCGTTCTCCAGCGCCGCTCGCCGAGGCACGCCGCACCCCCAGCAGCATCCCCAGCCCCGGGGACATCGATTGGTCGGTACGGCCCGCGCCCGAGCCCCGGGGCAGGGCAGCGATGCTGGAGCTGGAGAGCCGGGCCGTGCCACTACAGCCCCCGCCAACTTGAAAAGTGTTTTGTTGTCAACACATACTGTGCGCGGTCCCTCACATACTGACGAGTTTATCGAAGATCCCTTGTCGGAGTAAACAATTTAGCCGTTTGGAGGCTCATTGCCGAAGTTTAGAGACCCATGGACGAGGCGGAAATGCAGGGCGGATAATTTGTTCGTCAGTGTGAGTGCAGAATCGGTCAGGAGTCAGGACGAGGTTCGCAAGGGCCGTACGCTGGAGGAGCCCTCCGCAACGAGTGCGGTTCGGGCTGCCTGCCAGCTCCGGCTGCCCGCCCGCCTGGAGGGCTGGAGAGCTCGGAGCGGCGGCGGTTGCGGCCATGGGCGGTAGAGGGCTCGGCCAGGCGACTCCGCCGCCCAGCCCGCCCGGCAGACAAGCAGGCAGCCAGCAGGCAGCCGACCGGCACCCGCGGCCCGCTCCACGACGAAGCAACACCGTCGTGGTCGATCCCTCCGTATCGCGCGCCTCTTTAGCTCAGTGGTAGAGCACTGGTCTCGTAAACCAGGGGTCGTGAGTTCAAACCTCACAGGAGGCATTGTTGTTATTTTGTTTTCGCAGGGAGCGGGTCTGTACCTGAGCATTCCGAACGGCTCCAGACGCGGAAAAGACATGAACTTGCCTTCAACAGCTCATTGGCAGTCATTTTTCCCCACGAGAGAGGAAAGCGGCTTGTTCAATGATGCCCTGAGACGATCAATACGTGTCGTTCGTAAACAAAAAAAACTCTGCAGGCGTCTATGAGACGATCAAAATTATTCGTTCCCAAAATACCTCTGTGGAGTCTAGGAAAATCCCTTAGTGTAGTGAAAATAAGTTCTTGGGTACAGAAAATCCTTCATTGCTGGAAGGCACTAGCGACAAAAGAAACTGCCGAAACCCGGGATCGAACCGGGGACATTTAGATCTTCAGTCTAACGCTCTCCCAACTGAGCTATTTCGGCAGATGGAGAGGAGGGGGCTCGCACGCCAACACTCGAGGCGGCCTTGGTTGGCTGCGTGCACGGAGTATAGACGTCCTGAGCAGTGGTCGGAGGCGACTGCAGCGCCATCCAGTGGCCTCTTTTGGAACTACTTTGGTCGATACCCCTTGTCAGCAGACTGGGCACGACCAGATTCTGATCCATTGAAATAAGAACGGTTTTAAACTCAGACTAACTTTAATATGGAAGTGAAAGAGAAAGAATGATGACCTGATAGACCATCAACATTTCTCATTAAAGATAAATTATTAGAAAATTATAAACAGATACATTTTATACCTATTACTTCTTAAAACTCTTTTCAGAGAACTCATTAGGATCATATGGCAGAGATGAAATATTTCCGTTCATCTCCAACAGAAGGAATGTGTAATCTCTTGCAGAGAAACTACCATCTTCATCTTGATCAAAGCTAGAACTCGGGATTGTTGTTTCAGCAGCATCTATCAAATGGCTTTCAAGAATGTCTTGAACTTTTGTTAACTTGCTGCTAAGGTGTTCCATTTTCTTCTCAAGCTGGCATGTCTGGAAATTTATCAAGAAAATATGACGATAAATGACTTTGAAAGGGAAAGATGTGTTCACAGCCTATACTAACACACTTACATTTAGTTTGCTCGCAGATTGTGCTGTAGAAAGCTGATCATTCGAATCCTCTTTCTTGCTCTTTTTGACAGCGAGAGACTGGTTCCTTATTCGAGTCGGATGTTTCGATTTGCACGGAACATCAGTGCTGCAATCATCAACTGGAAGCACTGACGGCAAAGCTCCACCTTCCTTTAGAAAGGCATTGGTAAGAGACGAATGACTGCCGTTGGAAGTTCTGTGGCACTGAACCTTAGCCGAAGGAGCGTTTGCGGTGAGAAGATGGACATTGCTCTGCACTCGTGACTTCATCTTGGAACTCCCACAACAATCAACTGAATGACAAAACATAGGAGGTTAGCAATGTTATGGAAAGCCATTCCAAAGTTGTGCAAATGTACAAGGACATAACTACTTGCAATTTCGAATTGGGCTTGTTGTACTTTGATGGATTAGTGCCACTTCTTAATTCAGGAAATATTTAATCACAGCTAAAAACGCTGAAGCCAATGAAACTTTGCAGCTTCAAGTTCAAGCTTTGCCGGAGAAATAAATAAACAAAGTCACGTGACCACGGTTGTATGAGAAATATTTACAGATTGGCCTATTTCTCATACTTCGCCAAACAAAAGGTATCGGAACAGCTGTTTGGCGTCTGCTCAGGGAGCGCGCAGGCAGCGAGACAGTGAGACAGGAATGTTTGTACATTTATTGTGGGAGATAGATAGAGTCAAAGTTCATCGTTACAAGCGTCTGTCTGAATGAATTGCGTCATTCGTGCACATCTTGACTCGTTGACAATCGACGAACGTGAGCTTGAGGAGCGTGAGCGTGTGAGTGGAGGACCTTCTACAACAAACCAACGCAGCTCAGCGTCCCCGACGCGAGTACTTGTGAGTACCCCCCACCTCGAAAGAATCGCCCCACCTCCCCGACGAAACGTCAAAAGCAGCGCCCCCACGCTTGGCACCGCGTTAGCTACTGTTTATTTAAAAATACCTCTCAGCTGATGCTAGTCTTTGACAGGGTCTAGGTCTAGGTATGAATGTATAGTCCTGCAAGGTTAAGTTGTTCTAGCAAGCTGGCTCAAAGAAAAGCCACCACGTCCAGGCTACGCCAATCCCTTGGTATGTTGTAGTACAGGTCCCCAGTAAACACCTCTTTTTATACTGTCTTGGTCTTTCCTCAGAATGGTCCGTTGTTACATTCTATAGTCTGCACCCCCTAATGAATTTCACGTATTTTCAGCCTTTCACAATAATTATCTCTGCCAAATTTGCTATCGACTTTATTTCTGATTTCAGTTCACATGGAGTTAGACCGATGGAAAATATTTAGCCTCCTGTCACCAGCACTTCGGCAAAAGGTCCGATTGGCCTGTGTTTTCGGTAAGCTGTGACGCTACTCTTACTGTATTTTAACGGTACTTTGCTCTTGGTATTAACCATATCCCATTGCAACAGGCAATCATGGAAATGAGGCTCTATTGGTCACAGTCGACGATGAAGTGTTTGCCCTTGGTTCCAATGCTCATGGCTGCCTTGGCCTCGGAAACCAACAAGGCACACTGTTTCCGCAGTGTGTTGAACAATTATGTGGAAAAGGAATTAAGAGTAAGTTTTCCTCATTTTGTTTTGCTGTCCCTATCTTCTACATAAGATTTTGGGTTTCTTTCATAATCCTGGTTTTATCTCTTATCTCTACCATTGTTTAGGTTTTACATATGGCAGTGGACCGCATGTGCTTGCCTTGACAGAGAGAGGTGAGGTATATTCATGGGGACAGAATGTGTATTGCGAGTTAGGCCATGGAGCCTCCACCCCAGGGCTGTTGCCTACAATGATCGGTGGATTTCTGAGCACATTAGTTGTAACTGAAGTGGCCTGTGGCAGTCATCATAGTATTGCGTTGACTGAATGTGGACAGGTAAAAAGATCTTTGTTTTTCTGGTCAGTTATTTACATTGAACCGTATAGTTAAATCTGTCTATACTTTTGTTGTGAAGGTGTTCGGCTGGGGTGAGAATAATTGTGGTCAAGTTGGGTCTGGGACATCTAATAACCAATGCACACCAGTCAGAGTAACCCACTCTCTGTCATCCCGTAAAGTTGTCAGTGTGGCTTGCGGCCAAGTTAGCACACATGCTCTACTTGAAAATGGAGAGGTGAGACAAATAAACAGCCTACTGTAAACTTTTTGTTAAATTTTATTCTTCTCTGAACTTGTTATATAATAATATCATTTCTTTCAGGTGTATAGCTGGGGCTACAATGGAAATGGTCAACTAGGCCTTGGAAATTCAGTTATCAATCAATTAGTGCCAGCATTTGTCCAAACCATGCAGGGTATTGTGGTTACGAAAGTAATGTGTGGTTTGGTTCATTGCCTTGCTCTCACCGATGAAGGAGAATTGTATGGCTGGGGTGCAAACAGCATGGGTCAACTAGGAACAGGGCATAAATCCAACAGTGTCATACCAGTAAAAGTTGCTAATAATATTGGACGGTCAGTAGTTGTTGTGTGTAATAGTTAACTTCTTTTTTCCCCAAAGTAACCAAGTGTTAAACTAAATTGTTACAGAGTTGTGGACATTGCAGTTCATCACTATAACAACATTTCCGCTGCTCGAACGCAGCATAAAGTTTACATGTGGGGTCAATGCCAAGGTAATAAATCTAATTGAAAGTTATCAAGTAAAATAATAAAAACTCGTAGTTTTTTCTAATTTTTATACTGTTTTGATTCCAGGATTAACAATTACCTCGCCAGTAGAGACTCCATTTCAGTCCCTGCTTGAGGTGTTTGCCTGTTTTGCTGACATTGAAGTTACTTACAAGCCCATCCAATTGGAGAAGAAATCATCACAGAGTGTCACAGACTCACTTCGATTAGCTTTTGATGATCAGGTACTGATCTAGTCCTTTGCTGTTCTGCTATTTTATCATAAACCATATATTATACATATTTTTCACTTATAAAAATTTTATTACAGAATACAAGTGATCTAACTATATCAGTAGGTGGTAAAAATATCCATGTTCACAAGTCAATCCTAAAAATTCGATGTGAGTACTTCAGGAACATGTTTAAAGATCATTGGTCTGAGGATAAAAAGAGGCAAGTGTAAATGAAAGATAAATAATTTAATGTTAGGTGAGGCTGATCCAGCTGCATGGAACACGATTCTAAATTCAATATCTCCTTTCTATTTTATAGTGTGCTGGAGCTGAAACAATTTTCTTATCCCGTAATTAAGGCATTCTTACAGTACTTGTATACTGATGAACTAGTCATTGCCTCTGAGTGTGCCTTAGGTATGCAAATTTTGTCAAAATTGATGTTATATCCTTGTATTTGTTTATTTGTGTGTTTTGTCTTTAACAAATGCTCCACCATTATTCAGAGCTCCTTGATTTGGCCAATGCCTACTGTGAACAGCAACTGAAAGAGCTCTGCGAACAAATTTTGAAACATGGGGTTAATGTTGAAAATGTGGCAACTCTTTATGCCACAGCACTTACGCACCAATCTGAGGTCAGTCGAACACCAGTTTGCATTACATGCTGTTGCTACAGATGCACTACTAATGTCAGTGGTAGATAGAAATTTAGTTTGGTATTTTCTTCTCTCTAATTTTAAATTTGACCCCTATTTTATTGTTTCTGTGCTAGCCTAGTTTTTCAATATTCTTTGTAAGAGTGCTTTGTAGGTTGCTTCCTGCATCCATCTCATGCCTTTTCCATGTCCATCTCCATTGGGACACCAAGATGAACATATCAACAACATTACTGAATGCAGCTTTGCTATTGGTGTTGAATGAAAATGCGGGAATCATGCACATTAAATTCATTAAAATCAATGTAAAATATAAAAACCTACGAATCTCATTAACTGGTTGCTTGGGGCATGTGGTATCTGCTGTTTTGAAAAGTCTTTACAGAAATTTTGCTGGTGCTGACATTAGTTTGAAAGTGTTTATGTGGGGCATGCTGGTTTTTGCTATTTGGCTTCACAGTAGAAAGGTGAACAAACAAGAAGTGAGTACAACATTGTTTCCTGTTTTTCTGATGTAATTTTTGTGGCATTATAGTGCACAATAGTCTAAATTCTACACATTAGTACATTTACATTTGTTCAAATTTTCATTTTTGTGGGTGGTTTAGTGACCCAACATCATGTGACCCTTAACTAATTTAATTTACTTACAAGGAAATACTATAGTACATTTCATCACATACACAGATAGACATTTTAGAGGTTCTGTCTATGAGCACAGTCAATTCAAATTGTACCAAAGAATAAATAACGCCATTGGTTTTTTTCTTTTTTTCTTCAGGATCTTCAAAAATTCTGCTTTAACTTCATTTTGAATCACATGACCGCCGTGAGTCAGACAGCGGCATTCGGCGCTCTGGACGAACACACGTTCCGTGAACTCATCATCAAGGCAGGAGAGTCAGGTGTCTTCAAGACTTAGTTTTAGCTTGATCTAAATTGCTTCAAGTGCGCTCCAAACTTCCTGGCAACCTTGTCATAAAAGTTATTTTGATTTTGAAGGATTCTTTGACAAATTGCATACCAGATCTGTCCATGAAATTATGTCTTATCTTTTTATTAATTTTATCTATCTTTTATATTTATTTTTTTGCTCTCCTTAGAAAAAAGGAAATGTCATGGCACCATTTCCATTGCTGTGATAAACTTATGTTATAAAATTAGATAGCCGTTAACCAAATTGATTTTGAAAGCTTGTAGTACTTTTAAGTTGGTGTCTTTTAAGCTTGGATTTTGTTTTCTTTTGTTTTTAAGACTGAAAATTTTAATTAAGTAACATAGACATAAAATTTCTCTGTGTGAATATGTCTGATCTTAAACCCAAGATACAGATAAACTGAGGAACAATCAATCAACTGTCAGTTTTCTAAACGATCCCTCAACTCCTGAATCGCTGCCAATGACCTTCTTTTCCACTCTTCTATCCTCGTTGGTTTTCATCCATGTTCTTGACACATACCAGTCCTTATTGGCAGCAATGAAGTTTGACAGGCTTGCTATACAGATAAATTTTCACCAATCAATCCCAGATAGTCCTTTAAAAATAAAACAAATAAAAGTCCAATCTGTACTTACTTGCCATGTCTTCCAGTTTTTCTGGGGCAGTGCCGCCGTATTCTTGTGGCAGGTACTCGACAGGGATGTGCTCATGCAAGGACTTCATGTCTTCATGAATGCTGATCTATCAACAAGAATCATAGTCAAAATAAAGTCAAACTAAAGCATAATTTCTTTCATTCATCTCTTACCCTCTGTGCTAGCTTGCCCTTGAGAAGGGGGGTGACAGCGTTCAAGATCATCTTCTGCATGTTCGGTGCGAGGGTGTTAACAAAGTGGACAGAGTGCACCCTCAGCGGCATGCAGTCCTGGAGCCCAACAAAGTGACATGAAGAGAAGATAAAACACTCTCTAAAACGCTTCAGTCGGCAACGTGCCGCGTTAGGAGGCCTTCTACTCCCCTCTCGCCGTGGCGCCGTACTTACCTGGATGCAGTTAATCGCCCTCCGGAAGTGGCCGATGGCCCCCAGGAAGGTGGTGACGATGTTGAGGTTGGCGTGCTTCTCGTCCATGATCAAGATCGCCCCGCGGAGCTTCTTGCTGAGCCCCATCAAGGCGTCGATGTGGAGCACGATGCGGTGGTAGTGCACCTTCATGTCGACCTGCGACCAGTTGCCGGTGTTCATGGGCTTCATGATGAACAGGACGCAGCCGTTGGGGAGCACCCGGGGTTGCCATCCGTTGAGCCTAAAGGCAGCGACAACGACGCGGTCAGACAGGGGTTGTCTCTAGGTGGCTGCTGGGGCTGGGACTGCCAGCTGAGCCGCGAGGCTAGAACCACCTGCACCAGAACGCTTGGCTCCCGCCCGGCGAACTGACACCAACTGACACTGGCCGACAGGCTGTGAGACTTACTCGAAATCTCGCTCGTCGATGATTAACTGGTCTTCCGGCGCGGGCGGCATGGTGAACCACTCGTCCAGGACGGTGCGGGTCGTGAAGTAGTTGTCCAGTCGCGTCTTGGCCTTCTCCATGGAGTTCTTCGCCACCAGTAGAAATGTCTCGAGCCACTCATCGTATTCGCCTGAAACGGTTTTTGTTCGGTTATTAGTCATTCTTACTGGCCGCAAAAGTCAGATCTGAGGAAGAGGCCTACTGGTGAGGTCGGGCAGGTGGGGCTGGGAGTTGACCCACTCTCTCAGGGCCACGGAGTCCCTCTTGAGGTTCTCCGACGTGGTGCCGATCTCCGCGAGGAGGTTCTTGAGCTCCTCGGGCGACATCTCGCCCTGCACCGGGGACAGGGACTGGACTGCACTGGGCATGGTGGAGGAGACGGTGGCTTTCCTTGTTCTGTAACACGCGCAACAAACCGGCCGTCAGTCAGAGTAAGTACACACTGAAATATGCATGCGATTGGCAACAAAACGAAGACGAGCAACCAGTCGGATTTCCGACTTGGGGCTAAAGGCGGAAGCGGGGACCGCGCCTCCTGGCAGCATGCTGGCAGCCAGACTCAACACGCGTAGCGTCGCGTGGCGGCGGTCATTTGGGGGAAACCGGTCACCTGGACGACCTGAACGAGCATCCTCACGACCTGTACCGAATGACGGACCAGCAAAGCCACTACCGCCATGGAGAGTTCCAATCTCCTCTCCATGTGCAGCAACTATCGTGTATCCGCGTGTCCCCGCGCTTTGTTACGATCGGTGTATCAGATCAGAAGCGAAACTGAAGGATAAATAATCCGTTGCGCAACTCAAGGGGTTTGGCACTTTTTGCACTCATTGTACGCGTCCAAGCGACAATGTATGTAGGTAATTTGTGATTCAAACGCCTGCATAGCTGAATTCCACTCACATCGCACTCAATCAACTGTACATAATTTAAGTCAGTGGCAGACCTCCGGCTAGAGTGGCGGCTAGTGCCCCGCGCAGCCCAGCGTAGACTGATTCCGAGAGTCGTTTTCGTCGCTATGTCTACGTCGCACCCATATGGGACGCCCTATCAGGCGCGGTTTAGGGGGGGGGGGGCGAAGGGGCGACCGCCCCCTCTGTGAGATTCCCCAAACGCCTGCTGGTAGGCAACCAGCATCACATGCCCCTGTAGGTAGCAAAATATACACAAACGCCCCCCTGTCGGGGGCTCCGGGGGAACCGCGCCTGCGTCCTATGAGGGCGAGTGAGACAGAACGACGAAAACGACTCTCGGAATCAGTCTGCAGCACGCAAGCTCGCCGCGCCCTCCTTCTCGTGCTCCTCGCGGATGATGTCCTCGCCTTCCGCCGTGAACTTGAAACTACCCAGCAGTTCGGCTCCGCGACCTTGAAACTGGTTGCCGGAGCCAAAACAGAGAGAACGAGAGAGATAGATAGAAGAAAGAGCCGGCCTGTCGGGAATGCCTATTATACGACGTCCTGTTCTGCAACATTTATCGCGGCAAGAAAAAGAAATTGGTGGTGGTACCCGAGGTGGTACCTCTAGACCGGGCGGCGCGCAAGGGAGGGGGCAACTCTAGGTCCGCGCGCGGAACAGAGAAACACACTGCCGAGGCGGACGGCAAAAGGAAGACGAGTGCCGTGTGGAGCGGAGGCGCTGCCTCCAGCTTCCGCAGTGCGTCATTCCGGTTTTCTCGTTTTTTGGGAGGGCGATGGCGATGTCTGTTCAGCAACAGCGTCCAGGCTGGGAAGGCTGGCGGGCGCGAGGCCGCGTCAGACGCAGGGGGTTTGCGACAAGGAGGATTGCGCAGGGCTGCGCACAGCGTGCGGTGCTCGCAGGGAAGGCCCAAAGCCCAGCGGGGCAGGCAGCCAGCCAGCCAGTCAGCCCTGCGCTGCGGTGCTTGCGGTCACCAAATGCACAGGCAGAGGCAGCAATGCAGGACCATAGAGGAGGTGGGAAGGGACCGTCGGTACTGGCAGCGCTCGCAAGCTTGCATCCACCTAGCACCCAGCCGCATATAGGCCGCCCCCTGGCCCACACCCCGCCGTAGTCTTCTGTTTCCATATTGCTGGCTGTCGACTGATTCCGACAGTCGTTTTGTCGCTTTGTCTCTCTCGCACCTACACTGGATCCCCCATGAGTGCGACAGAGACAGAGCGACGAAAACTTCTCTCGGAATCAGTCTGCTGCTGGCGACGACGGGCGGGTGACGTGACGGGGGCGTGGGAGGGAGTGGCATGACATGCCATCCGGAAAATGGGAGCAGGAAATGACGAAATTACGTGTCCCAAACGCGACCTGAGTTCGTCTCGGGTGTCTTTTTGTCGTCGGTCGCGAACCCGCGCGCGGTGCGAGAGCGCGCGGTCGCGGCGCGCTGACGTCGCGGCGTCGCGAGGTACTTGTTGAGCACGCTCCCCGCGGACCGCCCGGGCACTGATAAGTGGAAGGACCTCCTCACAAAAAACAAAACAAGGGTCTCACCGACGCGACACGAAGGAGAAGTGATGAAGCCTGGACGAAATCACGTGCAGAAAATGACTACTGCTGACTGTCTTTTCTGTTTGCGCAAAGTGCAACGCGAGCTGTCATCGCGTGTGGCGGATTCGCCCTCAGTGCATCATAGCCACAGACACATTCACTGGTCTTTTGCAGGCGCGTCTGCACACAGTAAATGTCTTACGGTGAAAGGCTGCACCAACATATTATGGTGGAGATTTTCTCCATAATACCAACGAAATTCGTCAAAATATCTGTAAGGTACAGTGAATTCTCAGTGGTATGTTACGTAGTCAGCTGCAGCACCATAATATGGAACATTTTCACCATAATATGGAGAATCTTCACTGTAGAACATTTAGAGTGCATACAGGGGCTCCGACAGGACGGTGGGGCCCCACTGGGGGGTCACGCACTCCAAGCATCCCAGGTCCCGCCAGGGTCCTTCCCCGGCGCGCTTTACGCGGCGCGGTGCGTTCAAATCCCCGGACGATTCCCCACGCGGTTTCTTCGCCCTGTCCCTGTCTCTCTCGCGCCTCTGCGGAACGCCCCACGAGTGCGAGAGAGACAGAGCGACGAAACGCTGTGCGGAATATGTCTGCAGCCGCTGCGACGGCGACGCGGACACTGCACCGGAATCACTTATGTCACTACTCACCGTGATGCAAGAGCACCTCGCGCGGCGGCCCGGCCGGTCGGTGCGTGTATGTGTGTGTGTGCGCGGCGAAGGGAGCCGCGAGCTGGTGGCGCTGGGCTGGGCTGGCCTGGGCTGCGGGGGTCGGTGTGGCTGCGGCGGCCGCGGTCCGCGAGAGGAGTGTCTAGCCGACTCGACGCCTTCCCCTCGAATGACTGCTGGCTTGCTGGCGGCGCGGGCGCGGCGTCGTGGCGCCTGGCCGCGCGGCGCGCACCTCCCCGCCGACAACCTACCCCCTCTCCCCCGCCCCACTCCCCCCGCCCCTCGCACCGAATATACAGAATATCCTATTCTGTTTTGTCCACAGAAGCTCCTCGCACGTCACTAGAGCCTGAAGCCTGGACTCCAGCGACGTCCACCGGAGGCTGCGGTGACGCAGTGCCGAACTTGTTCCCAGGGATAGGTCGGGTCGGCCGTTTTCGCACGTTCGTGACGTCACGCAGATAAGGCGTGAGTGATCCAATCGGGATTGGTTGTAGACGCCCCGATCACCTAGGGGACGATTTTCCTGCTTCGATACTCGATTTTGTCTCGGCTGGTTTTGGCAAAAGATTTGATGCGAACATTTATTTTCTTAAACTGAGCATTCGTCTCACGTACGTTAAGACAAATTTGTCTCGTGGATGAGACAAATATTATCCAACAAAAACCGTAACCCAATAAGGGGATACCTTAAAGTTCCTGCTTTTCTTAAAACTTAAAAAAAAAAAAAAAACAGAAAAAGAAAATAGAAACTGACCTAAACTACGCTAATGATGGCGCCTCATTTACGGCCAATTATTTGTATTTTTCGGGGCACTAAAGAACGCGTCACGAGGCCACTGCGGGACCCGCGGCCCAAGGCATGCTTCCGCATGGAGGCCGGACACGCTCTAGCACCGCGCCGCAAACTAACAAATTTTCCAACCAAAACCCGCGCCAGCATCTGAAGGGACCTCTGGAATGAAGAGGAATTCGTTTTTCGCGCAAAGCCGCATGCAGCGTGAAATTAAATTTAATGTGCAGTGCGCTAAGATGCACATGAATAGTAACACATTTTGTACGCATTTAATGCAGGCGCGGTTTAAGGAGCCCCCGAAAGGGAGGGCGTTTGTGTATATTTTGCCTACCTACAGGGGCATGCGATGCTGGTTGCCTACCAGCAGGCGTTTCGGGAATCTCATAAGGGGGGGCGGAAATCGCCCCTTCGTACCCCCTTAAACCGCGCCTGATTTAATGCAAAAATGCGCTTTTAGACGCATGTGCGCGTAGTGTGGGGCGGTGCTGCGTGCGTTGCTGAAGGACCGCTCAGCCAATCTGACGCGTGAGCAGCTCCCTTCCTACAGTTAATTTGGTTTATTCTATCGTCTCGAGCTGACCTTCTTCACCTTCCTGGAGAACAACACTCGGGGGGCTTTATAGGTTCTACTACTGCCGTAAGTAATTACTTTCCTGTCTCCTCGGATCGAGAGGCGTTTCCAGTGGAGGTGCCCGCGGCCAACCCGGAGTCCCCCGCGCTGCGCCGTGCGAGTAGGCAACACCTCGTGCGGCGCGCGACACGCGACGAGGCGCGCCGTGCCTCGCGTGCCGTGCCGTGCTGCACGTGACTCTTCTTGACGACCGCCGGGTGTCAGGTCCGTCACCGCCAGCTCAAAACCAGTTTCAAACAATTAGTATTAGGGAACACCGAGAGGGTCGACATCAATCGACATGGACTTAGTAGCTAGGTGTCGTTTGGTTGTTTTTGCATTGTTTTTGCTGCGTCTTTGCCGCCCAGGCCACGCGCGCCGCGCATATATCCGGCGTCAGTCCGTTTTTCACGATTTACGACTACATACGGTGCGTTTAGCGCTCACTTTGTAACCAATAGCATCGACTTTTATCGACGGCGAATGAGAGCTGACGCCGCACAGATTGCAAGCAACACTCACAACACATTCCCACCCAGCATCATCTGCTTTGACGGCTTTGACGTTTAGAGCTGTCGTTCTTTTTCTGTAAAAGAAGGAACACCGAACACCCACTCTATGGTCGCACTTGCTCCGTCGTTGCTCTCAAAACGCAGCTCGTTCTTATGCAGATATCAACAATCAACGCAATCGCTCTCTCAGCGCCCGCCAAGAAGAGTGCCTGTCTGCTCGTTGGGACACCTCGGGGTCCACGCCGGCGCGGCGGGGCGCGGCGGGGCGGGGCGGGGCGTACCCGCCGATGAGATGAAAGGCCACGAAGAGTACTACTCGTAGTATCGTAGTAGGGTAATTGCGGTTTCCATTCATTGTGCAAGTCCGCGCGACGCGGAGCTACGCGCCCCGCGGCAGACGGCGCGGCTCGAAGCTTGGCTGCCGATCGGCTGCAGCCACGCGCCACTGCGGTCGCTAACCCGCCGCCAGCACCGCCAGCCTGCCGCGGTGACGTCACTCAGGGACGCAGACACACAGACACAGAGGCACACAGACACGGACACACAGACACTCGGACACACCTGCGGCGCCAAGCGTTCGCGTCCCTAGTCCTTGATACCGTACTGGGGGTCTCCTAGTCCTAGTCTGCTTGCGGCTGGCCGGCTGGCGGCGCTGGCGGCCAGCCTCGGACTTTCACCTGCCGCCGGGTGTGGGGCGGTGTCGCCACCGCGCCGCGCGGAGAGCGGCCCGAATCTGGACAACAACAATTATGCGGACTGCGGAGTGCAGGGCTGCAGCGCACATAACGAGCCTCGCGGCCGCTCGCGGCCCTGCTCTGGAAAAGCCGTTTTTAATTCCAAATGGCTGGGCGTGTTCAAGGTTGGCGCTCTTTTCAGATTTACGAAACGCAAGTGGCTGGAGAGCAAACAGGACCCTGGCCCACCGCAGCCGGCTATTTCATGACCCCTTCTTTTCTTGGGTCTCGAGTGCACTCTACGCACTCCAGCTCCAGCCAGGCTGCGCCGCGCCTCGCACCGGGCGGGGCAGGGCGAAGCGGGGCGGGGCGGGGCGGGGCGGGGCGGGAAGCCAGAACTGCAGCGAAGTGCCGCGCCAGCGTCGATTGCGAGGGCGTGGTGCAGTGCGGCGCTCGGCGTCCCAGTGCCCCGGTGATCCCGGTGCACGCCGTGGCCCAGGCTGTTCGGCATCAGTGACCCGCCGTCCGCCGGGCCTTACAACAAAGTAACCGAACCGGTCATCGGCGTCGGCGCTGGCCTGGCCATCCCGAGCGCAACGCGAGACTCGAAGCACCACGCGAGGGGTGGCTCGCGCCTGCACCCGTCGTGCGAAATGCGCCACCCCCTCCCCCTCTTCGGGAGCGTTGCGCCACGCCTGGCCGTACCCCTGCCCTCCCTCTGGGCTCTCCCTCTAGGCCCTGCGCGTGGTGGCGTGGTGGGGCGGGGCCCTGGCCCCTGAGTCCGTGACGTGGCGCCGCGCCACGCTTTGGACCGCTGCAGTGTCGAACAAGTGCCATGCAGGTGGAGGGCGCGCTTGTCCGGGCCCCGGTGGCCCCGGTGGCCCTGGCGCCGCCCGGAGCCGGCGTGGTCGGCGTCGGCGCGCTCCTGCTGGCCACCACCGTCCTGCTGCTGCTACTGCTGCTGGCGGAGCGGGCTCGGCGGGCGTACCGCGACTACCTCCACATGCACAAGGTGGTGGCCGACATGCCGGGCCCGCCGACGCTGCCCCTGGTCGGCAACCTCCTGGACGTGGTGGCGGGCGGCGACGACTACATCTACGACAACATCTGCCGCCTGGTGGCGCGGCACGGCCCCACGGTGCGGGTGTGGCTGGGCCCCGAACTGGTGGTGGGCATCACAGACCCGCGCGACGTGGAGTTCGTGGCCACGAGCCAGGAGCTGATCGACAAGTCACCCTTCTACGGCGTGCTGGAGCCGCTGCTGGGCCTGGGGCTGTCGTGCCTCGGCGGCCAGGAGGTGCGCCGGCACCGCAAGATCGTGATGCCGTCGCTGCACCTGGACATCCTGCACGACTTCGTGGACACCTTCCGGCGCGAGGCGCTGCGCTTCGCGGACCGCCTGGAGCAGCACGCCGACGACGGCGAGGTGTTCGACGTGGCGCCGCTGTGCGTCGAGTACTCGCTGGCCGCCGCGCTGCAGACCATCATGAGCACCGAGCTGGACGACGCGGGCGACGAGGGCCGGCGCGAGTTCGGCGGCTGGCTGCAGGGCGCCATGGACGTGTTCATGTACCGCGTGTGGCGGCCGTGGTTCCTCAACGACACGCTGTTCCGGCTGTCCGGCCGCCACGACCAGTACGTCCGCACCACGGCGGCGCTCAACGGCTTCACCGAGGCCATCATCGTGGACAAGCGCCAGCAGCTTGCCGCCAGGAAGCCCTCCGACGCCACCGAGGCGCCGCGGCGGCCGCGCCGACGGGCCTTCCTGGACAACATCCTGGACAGCGAGGAGGGGTCGGCGCTCACGGACTCGGAGCTGCGCGACGAGGTGAAGACGCTGCTGTGCACGGGCGCCGAGACGTCGGCCAGCACGCTCAGCTTCGTCCTGATGGTGCTGTCGCTGCGGCAGGACATCCAGGACAGGCTGGTGCAGGTAAGTCCCCACGAAAAACCCCTTTCGAATAGGTTGTGATCCGCGTCCCCACGAACCCGTTGCACTCGTTGCAGGAGCTGGACGACGTGTTCGGCGGCGACGCGGCGGACGCGGCCCGCCCGGTGACCATGGAGGAGCTGCCGCACCTGCAGTACCTGGAGCGCGTCATCAAGGAGACGCTGCGCATGTTCCCGGTGCTGCCCTTCTTCACGCGGAGCTGCCCGCGCGACGTGGCTGCCGTCCGGACACACGGCGCCGCGCGGCGCGCACCTCACCTTCTTCCTGCCCGCCCTGCACTCCGACCCGCGCGTCTGGCCCGAGCCGCGCCGCTTCGACCCCGACAGGTTCCTCCCCGAGCGCAGCTGCGGCCGCCACCCCTTCAGCTACCTGCCCTTCAGCGCGGGCCCGCGGAACTGCGTCGGACAGAGGTAGGGTACGCTCTGTCTCTCTCGCACTCATGGTGCGCGCCGTGACGGCGTGAGAGAGACAGAGACAGCGAAATTGCTCGACAGGTCAGGGAGAGCGCCTGCGAGGTGGACTGCCCCGCCGCGCAGCGCCGCGTCGCAGGCCGCCGGTTGCCTACCCCGCCTTCTGCAGGCGCTCGCTTGCGCTTGAACTTGCACTCGCACTGATTGTACACTGTAGCGACACCACACTTGACGCGCCCCTCCGCCCCCAGGTACGCCATGCTGCTGCTCAAGGTGGAGGTGGCCACGCTGCTGCGCCGGTTCCGCGTCCTGGCCCCGGACGACACGGCCGACGTGCCCGGCCGCGACATCGCCGACGTGCCCATCAAGGTGACCCTGGTCATCGCCGTCAAGGGGGGCGTGCGCATCCGCGTGCAGCGACGCCACTAGCACCACCGCGAACCCTACCCGCTGCACAGTGGGCCAAACGACCGGTGAAGGCAATCAGAAGTCTGGACGCGTCTAGAGTTTTGGCCGTCTCCACCGGTCCTCTGGCCCACTGTGCGTCGTGTCATAAACCTGTTATAATAGAAAAGACTGCATGTGTGTACTGTACAAAGTAACTTTAAGAATAAATTAAATGAATAAAAATACGAACGTCTCGTGTTATTGTGCCGCGCCCTGATGGACCTAGACACCCAGAAATCGATTGATTCGTACACTCTTTTTCTAAAAACTTCAATTTGCTCATACATCACGTTTTGAAGTTTTATTAACCGTACTCTCCTATTTTTCTGGATCCACCCACGCAACGCACGCTTCCAAACACACTGGGAAGTCTAGTCATTCAAAACTGGTTCTGGCGCTGACCCGTCCTCTCATCGGCGCGCGGCTGTGCAGAACAACGGCCATGAAACAAAGCCGTCATCGACGGCCAATTTGTCTTTTTGTCCACCGGCAGGCCGTGCCGTGCCACGCCATGTCATGCCGAGCCGCGCCGCCGCTTTGATTGTGATGCGATGCCGGGGGCGAATCCCGGCGATGGCGGTGAAAGCTGTTACCTGGCCTGCCGCGGCCTGCCGCCTCATGACGCGAGCAAATACAAGAGGAGAGAGAGCAGCACTGCAACCGTTGCATCAAAGGGGGCACGGACTCCATGGAGAGGGGGAGGGGGAGGGGGTTCAAAATGGCGTCCGCTTTCTTTATCACCGCACCTGTGATGCCGTGATGGCCGTCCTGGCCGTGCTCCAGTTTATGGTGCCGGGAAATCGGTTGACCAGCGCCAATATGGCGGCCCGGTGCACTGCGTCCTGTCCCAACCAGTGCACAGTGGGCCAGAAGACCGGCGCCGGCGGCCAAAACTCTCGATGCGTTTTGAGCTCCAGAGTCGCTAAACAGGACTCGAACCGAACGTGTGACCCCACCAATGGATTCCTCGTTCGGAAAGCAATCAATTGGTGGGGTCACGCGATCGGTTTGAGCCCCATTTAGTGCCTCTGTAGCTCAAAACGCGTCTGGCGTTTTGGCCGCCTCCACCAACCTTCTGGCCCACTGTGCGGCGTGGCGTGACTCCACTTGTCAGCCACCGCGGTCTGCGGCGAGGCGAGCCTGCAGATTGATGATGGCCCGCCCTCCCGATACAGCACCGCTCACCAAAGTGCAACTCATCGCACGTCGCGCACGTCGCGCACGTATGCGGTGTGGTGTTGCTGTGAGTGGAGCGGTCGGGGCGCCTAGCCCGGCCTAGCCCGGCCCAGCCTCCACTCGCGGCACCAACAATTAGCCGTTTAGCAACTCGTTGAATGCCGGGTCGGGTCGCGGCGAGGGCGAGCATGAGCATGCGCGTTGGGCAACGCGTTTCTCTCTGGATGACGCTAGAAGTGCAGGCCTGCCCGCAGGCTGATGTCGAGCAGTGCTTTCGTCGCCCTGTCTCTCTCGCACCCACACGGGTCGCCCCATGAGTGCGAGAGAGACAGAGCGACGGACGCACAACTGCCCACACAGCGTCCCGTTTCGGCCCGTCGTCGGCGTGCCGGCCTTTCGGGCCTTTCGGCGTGCGCGTTGCGCGTGAGGTAATCCTCGGTGCCTCTGGATAGCGGTGCCCCTGCATGGCGGCACGGCGGCACGGCGGTGCGGTTTGAGGAGGCCCTCTGGATGGCAGTGCGGCCTTGGCGTGCGGCGGCCGAGGCTGCCGCCCTGCGCTGGGGGCCGCCAAGCCGCGAGGCCGCGCGGATGGCCGTGAGGCCTTGGGGCTTGGAAGGGGAAAGAAAACGGCGTGGATGATGCGCAACGCGTCGCGACGCCCGCCGCGGTCGGCTTTTCGTCGCTCTGTCTCGCTCGCACCTGTACGGGACACCGTATGAGTGCGAGAGAGACAGAGCGACGTAAACGACTCTCGGAATCGGCCTGCTGGCTGGGCTCTTTTAGGCCGGACCGAAGGAGAGCAGGCTGTGTTGGCGACGAGTGACTTCAAATGAGTCCTGCACTGCTTGTTCGGAACGAAAGCGGCAGGTGGAGCGACGACGCAGCGCAGGACATGCATTCCTATTGCTGCCGCTGCCTATGCCGCGCCGTCCGTCACTCCCTGTGCCCGCTTTTCCGGACCGCAGGTGGTGCGAGAGAGACAGAGCGACGAAAACGACTCTCGGAATCAGTCTGCAGGGCTGCGGCGGCTCGGCAGCATGCAGGCGCCCAACCTGTTCCTGGCCGGGCGTGCATTGCGGTGCAGTGGCCGAGGCCCGGCCCGTACAAGGAGTGCTAGGAGTAGGCCAGTAAGGAAAACGGAAGCCAAGCCTCGGGTAAAAACAAGACCGCCGCCCTTGTTCCTTGTTTTCGTCGGGACTGCCGGTGCACCGGTATCGGCGTCGTTAAGCGGGTAGCTGCGCAGGCTGCGCACTGGCACTGCACTGCACGGGCCGCCGGGCCGCTGGCCGCGGGCCCTGGTCCCTGGCGGCGGGGTGGGGCTGGGCTGGGGCTCGAGAGCCCCTGCCGCTAGAAGTCCCTGGAAAGGTGGGGCCTTACGCGGTGGCCTGGTGCCCGACAGGCCGCCAGGCCGCCACGCCGACGGGGTGGGGCTGCGCGGGGCTGCGGCTCCAGTCGGGGAGACGCCGAGTTGCGAGGAGGGCCGAGCGCAACCGCGCAAGCAGCGCAGCCGAGCGAGAAGTGCTGCCAAGTGCATTGCGAGCTCTGATCCGCCGCGGTCCGCGCCGCCGTCGCCATGGCCGTGCTCCTCCTGCTGCTGACGGCCGCCGCGCTGGTGGTGGCCGCCGGCCTCCGCCGCCTCTACCTGGCCGTGTCCGAGATCCGGCGCGTGCGCTTCATGACGGCCGACATGCCGGGCCCCACGCCGTACCCGCTCATCGGCAACGTGCTCGAGTTCGCCGGGCCGCCCGACGACATCTACGACACCGTGCAGAGGCTGTTCTCCGACTACGGGCCGGTGATGCGCCTGCACCTGGGCCACCTCACGTTCGTGGCCATCAGCGAGCCGGACGACGTGGAGGCCATCGTCACGTCCGCCAAGACCACGGACAAGTCGTCCGTGTACAGCTCGCTGGAGCCCCTCATGGGGGCGGGGCTGGCCATCCTGGGCGGCGAGACTTGGCGGCGCCACCGCAAGGCCATCACCCCCAGCCTGCACCTCGACATCCTGCGCGACTTCGTCGGCATCTTCCACAAGCGCGGCATCGCCTTCGCCAACCAGCTCGCCGCGCTCGAGGGCACCGTGTTCGACGTGACGCCGCTCAGCGGCTCCTGCGCCAACAACACCATCTGCGAGACGGTCATGTCCTCGGACGTGGACGAGGAGGACCCGGAGAGGACCACCTTCGTGGACGCCATCCCCAAGGCGCTGGACCACTTCATGTACCGCGTGTGGCACCCCTGGTTCCTCAGCGAGTGGGCGTACTCGTTCATGCGCAGCCAGTTCCCCGAGTACCTCGAGGTGAAGCGCGTCCTCACGGCCTTCACGCAGCAGATCATCCGCGACAAGAGGCTCCTCCTGCGCAACAACAACAACATCAACGCCAACAACAAGGCGCCCAAGAAGCGGCAGGCCTTCCTGGACCACGTGCTTACCTCCGAGGAGGGCGCCGCCCTCAGCGACGACGAGCTCGCCGAGGAGGTCAAGACCATCGTGACCATCGCGTCGGGCTCCTCCATGGATGCACTCACCTTCCTCATCTACACGCTCGCCATCAGGCAGGACGTGCAGGAGAGAGTGCGACAGGTGGGTGTCGATTACGTTCCAGTGTTCTGCAATGGCCGGTCGGGCTCGGCCTATCCCATCCGGGGCTCCCGGACGGCTGCGTCGCCAGAACGCTCAGCACCAGGCCGGGTGCCAGCTCAGAGGAGCGGAGCGACGCACAACCCGCTCCACCCGCCACCAGGCTTGACTTCTGTTGCCTAGCCGAGACAGCACTGCACCCACTGCGCGGTGGCTTTGGCGACAGGCAACGTCTGTCTCTCTCGAACAGCCTAGGCCTAGGCCGAGCTGAACCGCCCATCGCAGTACACTCGTTCCGGATTCTAGTCCTGGAAATTGAAGTCAAGTCCGGTTGCATTGCAAAAAGGTGGAGGGGGAATTCCTTCTTTGAGAGGAAAGGGAAAATCGAATTGTTGTTGCGTTCTCGCTGCCAGGGTTCAATGTGCTTGTCGACGTGCTTTGTCTCTGTCTCTGCAGGAGCTGGACGACATCCTCGGCGAGGACGTGGACCGCCCGCTCGAGTTCTCGGACATGGCGCACCTGCAGTACACGGAGCGCTTCATCAAGGAGGTGCTGCGCTACTTCACCGTGGTGCCCGTGTTCGCGCGGCACATGGCGGAGGACTTCAAGCTGCCGTCGGGCTACGTGGTGCCGCGCGGCTGCCAGGTGGCCATCTGGCTGCCCTACACGCACCGCAACGCCAAGTACTTCCCCGACCCGGACAACTTCGACCCGGACCGATTCCTGCCGGAGAACTGCCGCCAGCGGCACCCGTTCGCCTACATGCCGTTCAGCGCGGGGCCGCGGAACTGCATCGGCCAGCGCTACGCCATCATGTTCCTCAAGACGGTCACGGCCGCCCTGGTGCCGCGGCTCAAGTTCCGCGTGCCTGCCGACGGGCCCAAGCACCTCGGCGACGTCCGCCTCAAGATGAACCTCACCGTGTCGGTGCGCGGTGGCGCCAACATAGAGGTTTGCCGCCGCTAGGCCACTGCTGGGCCACAGAGGCCGTTAGGCTGGTGCTCCAGTGGGCCAGAAGACCGGTGGAGACGGCCAAAATTCTAGACGCGTTTTGAGCTCCAGAGTCGCTAAATAGGACCCGAACCGAACGTGAGACCCCACCAATAGATTCTTCGATCGGAGAGCAATCAATTGGTGGGGTCACACGTTCGGTTCGAGTCACATTCAGCGCCTCTGGAGCTCAAAACGCGTCTACAGTTTTGGCCGCCTCCACCGGTCTTCTGGCCCACTGTGTTTTTCCAGGACGGGCCATCCGCTGTCGTGTCTCAGCATGTTCATGCAGTGTATACAAGTTCAGATCATAGATACTTCGGTACCTGACGTAGAGGAGTGTAGCATGTGTGAAAGACTTTCAGGTAAAGAATGTTCACTTGCAGCTTTAAAATGATGACGAATATGTGTAGAGTGGATTTAGGGTACTTTTTATTTATAGACTCTTGTTTTAAGTTTCAAAAAGGTTTTATTAATCAATTTTAAACATAATTGCAAATATTTTTTTTGCCATTCAATAAAATTTGCCTCTGCCACATAAATTCACAACAGGAAGCCCCAAACTGCACGACCAAATTGAGAAGCTATACTAAGATAACAATTTGCTCTGAATTTGTTTTCAAGACACAAAAACAAGGAATGATATTATCACATTATATTTACAAGTTATTTACACGGGTATATCAATTGTATCTACATCCCTATATAAGAAAATTTCTAACTAAAATTTTTCTGCCACATAAGTACTGTTATTGAAATGGAAACGTCCGAGTGCCACATGAGTTAATACTGACAGGGCCGTTTGAGGCTGAATCTAAATTTTCAATGACCCTAATTTACACACGAGTGGCACATTGGCTAAAACCAGAAGGGAAAAGAAAACCACCTCCTTGCTGGAATTTTATTTGAAAGGCCAGATGCACAAATGGAATGTATATTCAAAATAATACAAAGAAGACACCAACAGTTACATTGGTGGAATGATACTTTTAAGAAGGCTATGAACACAGAAACCTCCCTAAACACAATGAATCAGGAAGAGCCAAAGATTAAAATAGATCATTCAATAGGATATGAAAGTTTGATATGATGATGATGATTCTAGGAATGATACAATTTTTAAAGATGTTTTCAAAGAGTGAATGTTCTGCTAGTCAGACTAATACTTGGTCAGCCCAAATCAGTTTTCACAAAGTGCACAATGGGCACACTGCGTAAGTGAATGTATACTTCACTTGAATGGAAAGCTAACAAACAAAACAAGGATTTATTACTCTACACGCCTGGTGAAGAACAAGAAAAAGTAAATCAACAGTCAAAACAATTGATGTGAGCAACAGGCATGATCTTGAATGCGACACAATGTAGTGGCAACATGATATGGATGGAAACTGATATGGCAAGGTTTGGCAAAAATTAGTATCACAACCAAAAGACACTAAGGACCTTATGTACACTCCACATCAGAAAGGTTGAACTGCAGGATAAGTTACATGTAAGAGATAGAAGCATCTGTAACCACAGGCAGCACTTTGAGTGGAAATTGCCACTAATATGCAATATTTACAACATACTATAGGTATGCATAGCTATAAAAACAACTAAGGTTTCACAAATAACAAAAAAGCTTAACAATTGAGGAAAAATAATCACATTTCAATGACATAATCGACCATATGCTAATGAGTAACTGCACTGGAAGATTTAAAAAACAAAAAACGAAAAAACACAACAAGTGCTTTTTTCATTGTTTAAAATGTTCTATAGAACAGAAATACAGTCTCTGCCTCCTGATAGGGAAGGCAACTTTCCTTAAATCTGAAACTTTCGTGATATAATAATAATTGTAATAATTATTATCATTAATAATATTCTAAATTTGACTTGTTTACTTTGAAGCCAAAAATTTTGAGAGTTTCTTGACGCCCTAACATTAGAAAAGATAGGTTCATCTCTGTCGACAATGGTTTGTAGTACTTCAGATACCAATTGCAACGTTCACAACTGATGGAGATTAAAAAATGACTTATTTTCATATCTAGAAAGGAACTACCAGCACACAAATAGGAATGGACTCCTTAGGAAACTGAGGCTACCAATTTAATAATAAAATTTCTTTAAAAAAAAAAAAAAATTAATTGCCTAACTCAATTTAAATTTGAAAGGACACTTTTCAGTGTTGATTTAACTTTCATAATGTTTTTAAGCACTAGAAAGTAGAGAGCACCCCTCAATTTCCCTTGTGGAGTACAAACAGCACATTAACTCTACTAATGAGCAAATATTGATGTGTTTAGACTTGACTCAAATCAATTTAACATTGGCTGCACCCATTCACACAAACTATCACCATAGACTCCAATCATTCTCCTGGCACACATATTTTAGTCAATCACTCTGATATGATTCATCTAAACAGAGCACAAATACACTCTGCTCTAGCATGACATACAATAACGAAAAGAAAACCAGTCAGTAGAACAATCACCTGAACCATTGATTCATTGAATCAGTGATTCAGATGTACAATCTATATGCAACTTGCACAGCAAATCAATTTTTATTTTTTAACTCTTAAAGGGTTGGCATTTTTCATGGCCAATAAAAACATATTAAATGATTCTTCCAAAACTTTGTTTGGTCCATACTTTAAAATACTACACGGCACATCATTGGAAATTAAAACAAAAATCTTCTTAGTAGATTCTAAAATCTGAGAACAAGCAACAATGGCTGTGAGTTTACTCAGTCCAAATAATGCCACTTGAACGGTAACTGTAGTGATGCACTCAAGTTTTCACTCCCTCGTAGTATGACTCTTGATACTTCTTGAAAGCACTGTCCCTGTTGCACAAAATGTCTCAGGAAATGAGTTCAATGATGATGGGTTCCACCATTCATCACTTAAATCTCAAAAATGGCACAATTAGATAGCTTGGTGAATTAAAAGTATTTATAATTTACTGGAATCATAATTTTCAAACTTCCATCGTTGATGGGGACTTGATGAATTACATTCTTCCATTACAAGCCTCTGCTTGCTTTCTGTGATAGCCAGACACTTTTTACTGCTGCCATGTTGCAACAGCATAGTCTGCAGAGAAGAGAAAAATTTCATATACTCATGTAATTAAGAAAATGCACAAAGTTGAAGTGAAAATCCTTACCTCTGGATGGTACTGCCAATACTGATTACCCTTGGATCCATGGCATGGGTACAGTATGACGTCTTGGCCTGAGTAATCCAGACAGGCCTCATCCCTCCGCACCTCACCGGTTTTACTCAGCATCCAGTACTAAATTTAGCAAAAGAAAATAGCAAGCACAGAATTATTTTAAGCCAAATCAAACACAAATAATTAAAAAATATTATATTTTTAAAAGTAGTTTTCATCCAACAGCATCATGCATCACAACACAATACAGCAACAGTAACATTACTGAAGAACAGTAAATGCCACTTTTCCAAGGACAATGTGCAACATCACAAATACACTGCACATGTGATCACCAACACCACATATGGATTATCATGCCCAAAGGACTGTATTATTACTCCAAAGAGAAAATAGACAGATACAGGGAAAGAGAAGGAAGAGCACCAAACAAAACATGTGATGTGTAATGTGACACTGCAACGTGTGTTACCCAGTCAGTGTGAAGTGTGAGTGGAATAAAAATCTCTCTTAGTGGCTTTTCAATGTCAGTAGTACTGTATGTAGAGCTATTTTTATCACCGATTGGAAAACAGAATGGAAAGAATTGTAACCATCCCACCTCTTACTGGGTTACTAGGGGAATAATTGGTGATATCCAAGCAAATAAGCAGACTCTGAGTCTCACACATTTACAGATTGGAAATGAACAATTACATATCCCTCCAATCTGGTTAGACAAAAATAACTTGAATGGACTTTTGCAGGAAGCTAAAAGTGAAGCAAAGGATTCAACTCCATCACTTGACACTGTAAGCGGTCAGTATACCGGTCCCGCCACAAATCCCAAAGTGAATGCAAGACAGTGGCTTGTAAAACGTGTGGCTGACAGACTCGGTTACCTGATTTCCCCCTTCTCTGTGGCATTGCCACAAGTTCAAGGGCTTGTGATATTCCTCCTCTGATGCTTCTGAGTCAAGGCACATTCCGGATTCCCCATTTCTTACCTGAACGTCATAAAAACACGCAACTATGCATCAGTTTTCAAGATTTTACTCAAATGGCAGGGTGATGGGGGCTGTTGTTTAACGTTGGTGCTGCTTCCAATGCTGTCAAAGATAGGGAGGGATGGGGTTTCTGGAAGGCTGGTCCATTTTACAATGTGGTACGGGTCAAGGTTTTAACATAGGTCAGAGCTTTCAGAAAAATAAAAATGGGAAGAGGAATTCAAAGGGGAAAAGACAGGAATAATAAAGTCCTTGGACATGCTGTGTTGCTGGTGCTCCACATGCAAGAGTGATGCTGTGCTGCACGGTGCCTGCTGCAGTGCCGCATGCCAGATGTTGTGATGACTGGTTGCTGCTACTGAAACTGCTAAAAACAAACCTGGTTGCCTCCTTGACCATGGCAAGGATAAAGTCCTGCTGGTTTGTGCAGGTCATTCTTGCGTGCTGGCGAATCCAGACAAGTCTTTGCACCGTAACCCATATTGCGGACCTGTCATTTGTGGTGTTAAAAGTAGTGATTAAGATGCTCAACAACGGCATGATTTAAACATAATCAAACATTTTCTGTCATAAATTAATTAACACACATGTGGAAACACTACTAATTGAAAAGGGTACTTGATTTAAAAAATTTGAACCAAGAAAAGAAATTCTCACCTCTCCTGATGCAACAGCTTCGCCAGGAACAAATAATTCTGGGTAGATGTTATCTAAATACCACTTAAATGACTTGCAGCCCAAATTTCGGCGCAGTTCTCTTCGAGAAGAGACATCTCCAAAGTCACCCTAAAACAGATATGAAATGTAGAAACAAAACAAAAACAACGCATATTTCCCAAAAATATTTTATCACATTGAGCCGTACCAAATCTTTGCCAATCCTTTGATAGTAGTACTTTGCATAGTCGTCCATCCACACCTCAGCGAGACGTATTGAATTCCGCTTCAGCACATTCACACCTGATCTCCACTTGTAAGGTGAGCGCTTTCGGAAAATGTGACCAACATGCGAACAGGGTACTATCTCCAATGTGCCACCGCACATCCACGTCTGAAACAAGAGAGGACAAAAATTACAAACTCTTACCAAGCAGAAGCAAGTCAAGTTTTGCATTAGAAAAACCGGAATAGTATTTACCTTGAAAGACAGCTCCAAATTTTCCCCTCCCCAAATGTCGAAGCCGCTGTCGTAAGTGCCCAGCTGCTCGAAGAAGCTCTTGTCGATGCTGAACAGGCCGCCGGCCATGGTGGGGCTCCAGACGGGCTCGGCCGAGTTGGAGTGCCGCTTGCGCTCGCGCTCGGGCACGGCGTGCCAGTTGAACTGGAGGTTCCAGTCGAAGCCGCCCACGGACACGCCGTCCGAGTCCCGCCAGTGGAACTCGAGCGTCGTGTCGTCGATCACGTCGATGACGGGGCACACCACGGTCGTCTTGTTGCGCGCGATGCGGTCCAGCAGCGGCTCCAGCCAGCCTGGACAAAAGGGGGGCGGGTTAGCACAGCACAGTCAGGCGGTCAAAATCCACATTGTCGCGGAGGAGACTGGACTGACCTTCGCCGCACTCGCAGTGCGAGTCGAGGTACGTGAGCACGGGGGCGGTGGCGTAGCGCGCGCCCATCAGCCTGGCGCGGATCAGACCCTCGCGCTTCGGGGCGCGGATGATGCGCACCTTGGGGTAGCTCGTGAAGTACTCCTCCAGCTGCAGCTTGAGGTGGGCTGCGGGAGGGGAGAACACGGCGCCATCAAGCAATCGAACCCAGCCGTCTTTGTGTGAGCGGCGGCGTCGGTGCTTCACTATACTCACGCATGTCGGAGAAGTCGTCCACCAGGATGATCTCCTTGATGAGGTGCGCCGGCGACCGGTCCAGCACCGAGTGCACCGTCCTCAGCAGCACGGACCACGCCTCGTTGTGGAAGCACACGATGACGGACGTCTGGGGGAGGTTCTCCCGGTACCGGCCGGGCTCCTTGCACCTGTAAGATCGCCGAGGCGTTAGCACGGCGTCAGCCAACCTGCAGCACCTCGTGGCGGCGCGTACTCACCAGTGGTCCCTGGGGTCGGGCAGCTTGCGGTGCACCGAGATGAGGTCCGACACGTACTGGTTGAAGGCGTTCTTGGCCCAGCCCTCGTCCACCAGCTTCTTGACGTCGGCCGTCAGGTTGCCCAGCACCACGGGCTTGCCCATCTCGCCGTACAGCTCCTCCTTCTTGGACGCGTCCAGCTCCTCGGGGCTCTTGGGGGCGGCCAGCACCCCGCCGCCATTTTCTGGACCGTCTGGAGCCTGCGCGTCAAACGAAAAAACACAATGTTAAAAGGCACTGGGGCGAATACAGTGTGGTAAAGGTCAGAGAGAGTGTCCATAGCACGCACCCCTCGCGGCGGCGCGGCGGGGCTCTCGCGGTGGTGCGTCCGCGAGGCGATGAAGGGCTGCGCGCCGGGGCCGTCGTCGCCGAGGAAGTTGCTGTCCACCAGGTTGCCGGCCATGTTGACGCCCACGTCCTCGCCGGTGCCCACGCCCAGGGAGCCGGCGCGCTGCTCGGCCGACAGCAGGAAGGCGACGGTGAGCCACACCGCGCCCAGCAGCACGGCCAGCTTGAGCACCAGCGACTTCCTGGGCACGAGGCGGGGCAGCACGCGGGGACCCATGTCTGCTGCTGCGGTGCTGCTACCAGCCTCGGGTCGTCGTCGTCGTCAGCGCCGGCCTCCCCGTGGCTCCGTCGGCCCCTTCAGCGCCAGGGCGTCGTCGGCGTCCTGGGCGGCGGTCAGCTAGCCATGGCGGCACCTGCAACACGAGCACAAGGGTCACACTGGGGCGTGTCGTGTCGCGTATTCTCGTCCTCGTGTCCCCGTTCCCGTTCCCGCACCGCGGCGTGGCGTGGCGTGGCATTGACAGGCGCCGTGACGGGCTCCGTGACGGCCTCCGTGACGTGCAGGGGGAAACGTGTCAGCGCGCTGCGCGGTGCCAGCGGGCCGATATCAGCCCCAGCCCTGGTGTCGGTCGCGTCATACACGACGGCGCCGCGAGGGCGGCTGTCAGGCAAGGGCACGGCTGGGGAGGGGCAGGGGGAGAACGTGAGTCAATGCCGCGTCGAGCTGCCTACAGATGCCGACAGTCGTTCTCGTCGCTTTGTCTCCCTCGCACTCATGGGGCGTCCCGCGTAGGTGCGAGAGAGACAGAGCGACGAAAACGACTCTCGGAATCAGTCCGCCGCGGCACGGGGAATGTCAAGAGCGGTGCGGCGGCAGGTGTTGTCGGGGCCCTTCGCCCCTCGAGTCCGGGAGCAAGCGGCGCAAGCGGCACAAGCCTCCCGGCCCTGGTGGTTGTCGACTGTTAGCACAGGCCGCCCTCCTCCCCTCCCCCAAAGGCACGAGTCCCGAGTCGCGTTGCCGGTTCAGCGAGCTTATAGACGTATTCGGGGCGCGGCCTGCCCGGCCTGCAGCGCGTCTTCCTCGCCGTCCTCGCCGCGTCCTTCCACCGCAGAGGAGAAGAAGGTCGCACGGAAAGACGGAAAAAATAAGAGGGAAAAAAAGGTCCACCTCGGGTCCATCGGCCCCAGGCCAGGCCCGTGCCCGCCCCCTTCATCATGCACCTGACTTTGGCACGAGGCCAGCCGCCCCCTGCCTTTCCAGCCCCCAATTTGGACCTCCTTCTCTCCGTCTCCAGGGCCGGCCATCCGTCTTGCACGGGGCGCCCTTTTATTTCCAGAACACACTCACACACCGGCATGACACGCTACTGGCTGTTGTTTCACACTGTGGTGGTTGCCGGTACACGAGGGCGCCTCGTTAAGGAATTCCATCCCCGTGGCCGCAGAGGCCGACAGCCCCGTTGCTAGCCCTGCCAGCTATTTAGTGACCAGGTGGCCCGCCAGCACCCCGAACCCGAACAGCGCCCTCGTCGTCACCGCCCCCCCCCCCTCCCCCTCTCTCTCTCTCTCTCTCTCTCTCTCTCTCTCTCTCTCTCTCTCTCTCTCTCTCTCTCTCTCTCTCACTCTCTCTCTCTCACTCTCAGCGGCACGCCCCGCGAGTGCGAGAGCGACAGAGCGACGAAAGCGCTGTAGCCTGCTGGGTGCTGCTGGTGCACCCCGTTGGCCGGCCCGGGGTAATTAGGGGCAGCTCGGCCAGCCCGTCGGCCAGCCCGGCACCACCGTGCCCGGCACGAACGGTGTCAGGTGGCGGCCAGGCGGGGGCGGAGCGGAACGGAACGGCTGTAGCGGAAAGCGAAAAGGAAGAAAAAACAACAAACTCGAGTGCACGGCCCGCGGCCTGCACACGAGACAAGGAGGGCGGGGCGGGGCGAGGCGGGGCGTGGCGGGGCGGGGCGGGGTGGAGCGGGGCGGAGCGGGGCGGGGCAGGCCGCTGCAGTGCCGCGCCCTGCACTAGGCCCTGCAGTGCGTGGCGGCGATAGCGCGCCCGATAACGCACACGCCACGCCGCCACGCCGCCGCGACCCCAAAGCGATAGCGCCCCGAATTCAGCGCCGCGGGAAACAGTTTCCGTGCTGACCCGTTCAACATCACGAGGCTTATGCAAATGCAGCGCGGCGCGCCTTCGGCCCTTCGCCTTAGCGGGGTCTTTAAGACTTTAAGGCCGCTCTCTAATTACTGGCCGCCCTGCAGCAACGCCCCCGCGGGCCACCCGTTGTCGGCGGAGTGAGAGTTGTTTTCGTCGCTCTGTCTCTCTCGCACCTGAACGGCACGCCGCACGAGTGCGAGAGAGACAGAGCGACGAAAACGACTCTCGGAATCAGTCTGTAGGCGGGCCAAGCCGGCCGGCCAGGCGGGCCACGCCCCCATGTCATCCGCTTTAACAATCAGGCGGGCCGTAACGCACGGACACACACACAGTCACACACACTTGCCCTCTGAGGCCGCGCTGTCATTCTCAGGCGAGTAATCAGGAACGCGGGGGGCCTGGAACGCCCTCGCCCCGCCCCGCCCCACCCCACCTCGCCCTGACCACGCCGGGATCACACTAGTGGCCGCCACCATGTCGGGGCGAGCCCTCGGAGCCCTCTCCTCGACCCCACGCCACGGCCGCAGAGCCACGCAGAGCCGGCCAGGGCACAATGAAGGAGAGAATGCAACTGACACGGCACCCGCCCGCCAGCCCGTCCGTCTGTCTGCCGGGCGGTCCCCACGACTGTGGGTGGCACTTTGCAAAATGCGTCGACGGCGACCCTCTGCCTGCGGCGCACTACCGGCCTCTGCCTCAAAATTCCTCTTGTCCCGTCCAGTCCCTCTGCCTGAGCTCTGCCTGCCTCTGGGTCTCGGTGCGCGGCGGCAGTCCCCCGAGGAGGCCTGGGCCTGGGCCTAGGCCACCTGCTCCGCCCGCAGGCCGCAGGAGGTCCAAGGGCAGCTCAAAGTGTCGGCCTCTGCCGTCCGGGCCGCGGACCGGAATATGCTTCGTTAACACGGCCCAGCCCGGCCGGGGCCGGCTGCCAGCTCCGCCAGGGCGCCAGGGCTACTCGCTGGCCTAATGCCCGGCCTAGGGGTTGTTGATCGAGGGGGTGGCGCGCCATGGCGGGGCTGGCTGGGCTCGGCACCTCGCTCATCTGCCTTGTTCCCGCCCGGCCCAGGTCATTTGCATGCCCCCCCCCCACCCACCCCGCTCGCTCCATTTCGCGCGGGGCGGACAGACTGTCTGCGCGGCGCCACTGCTGCCACAGCTGCCTCTGCCTCCAGACTGGGCGGCGCTGGGCGGGCCTCCGGCTCGGCCTCCGGGGACTGCGAGGCCTTGGTGGAGGCCGAGTAGGCGTTGGGACTGGGACTGGAAGCATGACAGCCCGGGGCAAACGCACCGCTCGCTGGAGCCTCGGCTGGAGCCGCTAGGGAGGGGCGGGGTGGAGAATTCTCTGAAAAATGGCAGAGCCCAGTATGTAAGCCCCCTCCCTTCCCTCCCCCAAGCCATTCCAGCCGGCTGGCACATTCAAACTTAAAGTGTTTAATTTTGCACCCAATCAAACTGCGGAGAGAGATAGCGAGAGAGAGAAAGAGAGAGAGAGGCTTCGGAGGGGGTTGTTTGTCGAGGACCCGGGAGAGAAAGGAAGAGCGGCGGCCGCGAGACTGATTAGTGGCGAAAGACTGAGAGAGAGGGAGCGAGGGGCGGGCCGCACGGGCCGCACCTGCAAACTCATTAAACACTCGGCCGAGGAGCACTTTGTTTCCATTCCTTCTGTTCTGTTCGGCGTGTCGGTCGGCGTGACGCGTGTCCAGGCCCTGCCGTTCCCCGCCGGGCCCCGCCGTCACACAGTGGGCCAGAAGCCGGTGGAGGCGGCCAAAACTCTAGACGCGTTTTGAGCTCCAGAGTCGCTGAACAGGCCTCGAACCGAACGTGTGACCCCACCAATGGATTCCTCGTTCGGAGAGCAATCCATTGGTGGGGTCACACGTTAGGTTCGAGTCCCATTTAGCGACTCTGGAGCTCAAAACGCGTCTTGAGTTTTGGCCGCCTCCACCGGCTTCTGGCCCACTGTGCGTCACAGGCCGCAAACAACGCGCGGCTTTGTTTTCAATTTACGCCAAAGTCCGACGGGGACAGAAAGAGGAAGAAAGGCGGCGGCAAGTCAGGCAGCCAGCCAGGCAGCCAGCCAGCGCGTGGGTCGCGTGGCGGGGAGGGGTGGGGGAGGGGGAGCCCAGGGGCCGCGGCACTGCCAGGACGGCCAGGACGGCCAGGACGCGGCCGCTCCAAGGGAGCGCCCGCAGACGCGCGCGTAGGCAACGCGCTCCACAGGGGTCCTGGCGTGGCGGCCTACCTCCGCAGGGGGCCGGCCGCGGCAGCGGGGGGCTGCACGCGTCCCGCAGGACGCAGCGCACACAGCAGACGCTCTCTCTCTCTCTCTCTCTCTCTCTCTCTCTCTCTGTCGCACTCATGGACTGTGCCGCAGGGGTGCGAGAGAGACGGAGGCACTGCTCGGAATCGCACACATAGGCCTGCGAGGCGTTCCACTTTTTGGCCAACGACGCCGCGTATAAAACGAGCCTTCCTTCCGGAGAACGACGACCGTTGAGTCGGACAGAGAGGGAAAAAGAGAGCAAAAAAAGGAGCAAACTGCAACAACAAAAAGGAATAGTACAGTACACCGCCGAAAAGGCAGAGCGCCTCGCCGTGATTGAATGCGAATTGATGGGCAGTAAGGCGGGGCCATGAAATGACGACGTAATAGTAATAAGTCCGGGCCGTTTAATGCCGCGCGAGCCGAGCCAAGACTTCTCCCTGCATTACGACTGGCGGCGAGGGCCAACCCTTCCCTTTCTCTCTCCCTCTTCTCCCCCCCCCCCTCTCTCTCTCTCTCTCTCTCCTCTCTCTCTCGTCTCTCTCTCTCTCTCTCTCTCTCTCTCTCTCTCTCTCTCTCCTCTCTCTCTCTCTCTCTCTCTCTCTCTTGCGCGGCACTTTGGTGCGTTTGACTAGCCATTTAATTTTCCGTATGGACGCATGCCCCCGCCCCGCCCGGCCCGGCCAGCCCCGCTCGCTGCGAAAGAAGGCAAGGCGGCCCCACTCTTATCTCCGGGCCGTGAGCTGGAAGCTGGAAATTGAAAACATTCCACGGGGCTTCGTCCGTGCTCCGTGCTCCGTGCCCGGCAGCACGCCCCGCCCCGCCCCGCCCCGCCCCGCCCGTGGAGGAAAGGAAAGGAGCGAGCAGATGAGGCCCTTCTCTCTTGATCAGGGCGTCTGCGCGGTGCGTGCGGCGGGGCGGGGCGCGGAGGGCGCCTTGCCAGGCACGGGGCGCGGCGGGCCAGCCCCAGCCCCAGCACAGCCCGCTCAAATCGAATTATACGCCGG